CCCTGAATTCCTGAAGTTTGACCCTTGTTTTTTATTGCGACCCTGATGGATCAGCCTTTTTTTTTTAGCGACCCTGATGGATCAATGTTTTATTTTGTAGAACACTGAATTTTCAGTGTTTTGTGTTTGCAGACACTGACGAGTCAATGTTGTATCGGGGTTGACCCTGAAACCGAAACTCCGTGTTTCTCGCATATTGGCGCGCCGTCAATTTTTGCTTTTGAGTGTCTGACGAATCAGAAATTTTCAAAAACCTTGTCTGACCAATCAATACAGAGTTACGAGTGTGCAGATGCACGTGGGAAAAAAATTGAGTCGAACTTCTCTCTCGCCTGTCACATCCATTCCAAGGGCACACAACACTCACCCTGTCATACTACATTCGCCCCGTCACACCACATTCGCCCCGTCACACCACATTCGCCCCTTTTCACCACATTCGCCCTATCACAAGAGGGGTTCGCACTGCGTATAAAGATTGCAACGAGTCAACCTGTCACAGCAGTGATTCATGCACTGTCACAGGAGAGATTCCCTTCCCACCGCTGGAAATCGCGATCTGCTATGTTTCGATTTCAGACGAAACAGAAAACAGGTGTCTGATAGAACAGATGGAAACTAAAAACCATTTCTGACCCATCAGACGGCATAATGCACCCATTTCTTGAAAATCAGATGAGTGAAAAAAAATCTGTCTGATTTCTCAGAAAAACAGACAAAAATGTCTGATAGCGAGGGCCCTGCCGTCATCATTCATGTACACCCTTTTTCACGATAGACTGGCATATGTTATACTGACAGAGACGCTTAGTGTAGACACACCGGACCAAAGAAGGTCCTATCACATGCGTTACAGTGACAATTTGACCCAGGGCGTTTAGTCAAGGTTTTCTACGTTCTACAATGGTACTGTTGTTTTCAAAGCGGTCGGGACGGTTATTCAACGTTAATGCTTTTTAACGGCCCAAGGCGTGTTTCAAACCCTCGTGCGACTTTGCCCGCAACCGACTTATCTCACCAGCCCGCTACGTCCAAACACTGTAGCCAGTGCTTCCGCCGGTGAGAGAGGTGAGAAAGAGGGTGTACCCAACGAGGATCGACGCCACCCTGCGGCTCAATTTTGGGCAGTGTTTGTGCAAAGGCGCCATTTGATTGGCTGTTCCAGGTGTTTCAATGCTTCGTTGACTCTGACTTCTGCCAACACTTGTCATTCTTGGCCTCGCTGCGCACAAATCCAGAGTGGACCAGTGGTGAATGGTGGCATCAGATCAGATTCACCACGCAAGGGCGTGGTTGTGCGGTTCGACCAGCCGACCCATGCCGCAGGGGGTCTCGTTCATTCATGCTCTCCACATCACGACCGGGCCTGCACCCCTTCTTTAATTATTCTATCAGTGTTTTTTGAAAAGGCACCCTGTGTGATCAGTGTTTTTTTTTTACTAACCCTGAAAAATCAGTGTTTCTAAGCAGGCAACACTGAAGATCAGTGTTACACCTCCAAGGGACCCTGAGTGCTCAGGGTACCCTAAAACGAATCTGAGGCCCTGCCGGCGATTGGGTGAAACTTTGTCCACAGAACCACAACTAGCGCCAAAGTACAGGGTAAATTTTATCACCACCAAAGCTGCAGGGAAAATTGCATTCACAACCAAAGCTGCAGGGTAAAATGTATCAAAACCTGTGGGTGTGTGTGGCCCTTCAATTTTAACAAAGCAGCAAGGCATCTGTGGTACGTACTTGTACGATAGTATGATACGGTAGATAGTGTTCACTCTCGTGTATCTGCAGATTTAGTCAGCATGCATGACAGGTACAGTATGCCCATGACACCCACGCTAAAAAGTGCGAATGGAAAATGTTGGTCTATCCAGGGCACCCACTTCTGTGCAATACTCCACGCGAAAACACTCCCAGCCAACGTTGGTGCAATTGCACGGCACACCGCATTTCCTGTCTGGCTTATTCCGTTAACTGTGCCCAAGAACTCAGAACGCTTGATGCTGTTCGAAATAAGGATGAAAACAGATGTGAAGGAGCACAGGGATGCTACGCTGCAAAGGCAGCTTCAGGATGTTAGCAGCAGACAAGTCAGGGAATAATGGACATACTCCATAACGGCATCATACCTTCGAAGCATCTGGACAGACATTATGGCGATCAGAAGCTTTGTGCGATCTGTGCCAACAACCCTCACAATAGGTAGTGCACCCAAGGTAGCTCCGAAGATTAGTCCCAGTTGCAGTGTTCGTGTTGGGCCGAGCCTCTGATTCAGCATTGGGTACACGAAGAGCTGAAATGGAATCTGCGAAATGTGACATGCTCAAGGTTAGCGCAAGAGTTTAAATCAGAGTTTAAATAAGGATAAAAGCAGGTTTCATTGCTCATTACCCACCAGTGACACTCCTCCGGCTGTTTGAGCAAGTCCAACTTCATTAGATCCCAGATTAAGACCACCAAGGTCCCAGCGAGATAAGCACCAAAGTGGGAACAGTTCATCATAAGCAACATAGACGAGGCCCAAAAGGTCATAGATCAAGACGGAGCAGACTGCATGCATATGACAAACAGAATGTTAGAAGTTGGAAATAGTGTAGCTGATGAAAAAACTGACAGCCACATACCTGTGTCAACCCGAAAGAGCTCATCACTTAAAGTCGTGTTCACTTCCCCTGGCTTTCCTGTTAGCAAAGCCTCTTTCTCAAAGTCAAGCTGTTTTTTGCAGTCCACGCCAACTCTCAGTTCCAATTTGTCGGAATCAGTGAGATCGAGAACTGAGGAAGGAGAGTCACTGTTTTCCTTGATACATTTTTCAACTTTGAAACGCTCAAAGCTGTCTGAAACACGAGGTCGTGTTTCAGGAAGCATGAACAGGGAAACAACAAGTCCAGTTGTTGTGACGGTTGCGACCACCAGGCACGGTAATGCAAACGGGAAATGGTCAAAAATGGTATTTCTGGGGAAAACATCTGGATATTTCTGCGAAGGAAGGCACAGCAATCCTCCAATTGCAGGGCCTGTTGTGCAGTTTGCAGCTGTCAGCTCTAAAAAATCTGGTTCAAACCAACTTAAGAAAATCCTGCATAGGTGAACATTCTGAGCGACTCACCCAACGGTAGGCCGACTCCCCAGCATACTCCAATTATAGAAAACCTGCAATGACGAAGAGCAACTCAAAGTCGAAGGGGTCGTTTACTGCTAGTCGTAACGCTCACAAAAGAATTATGCAACCACCCCTTTGCCTGGTTGGTGTCGTTGGTGATCTCAGATAACGACCTGGATGAAATTTGCCAAGCAGAGTGAGTAAGGACTGAGATAACTGCTCCCTCCTGTGAACTTGTGCGCGCTTACGTTTTTGCAACTCCAATTGAGCTGAAAAAGCCGTCCAGAAATCTTGCAAACATCGCCATTCGGTAAGAAGTGCTGAATCCAAACAGTAAACCGCAGATTAACGTACTCAGCTGTGTCATCAAAAGAATAGGCCGTCTTCCAACTCGATCTGACAATGATCTGCACGTTGCGTCAGTAGTTTCACGAATGCCGAGCATTAGGGAGAGCGAGAGAAAGCTAGCGAGAAAGCGAGAGCAGGGAGGAATAAAACAGAGCGGAGAGTGATGGAACAGAAAATGACTCGAGCTGACGTACCCCCACAAAAAGCTTGAGAGAAGGCTTCCAACGAATGTGCTGGAGGCAAGGAGACCTGCAAAATATCTGCAGTATAGATGACATTGTTAGGTTCTCACAAAGAAGCATCAGTCATCTGAAAAACATTGGTCAATCAGGCCCACCCAATGTCTTCTTGCTTTTCTGTGAGCCCAAATTCTTGGACCATGAATGGCGCAAATGGAAGTAAAACGGTTTGCGCCAAGGCGTTCGTGAGAAACATCACGGCCAGGGCAGTCGTCGGCCCGCGTGGCAGGCCTTCATCCACGCCATCCTGTGGCTTCGCCATGGCTCACAAGTACGCGAACAGAGAGGTATCTATTCCTATTTCCAGCACCATGAATTAATTACCGTCCACCTCGAGTCGAGCCAAGATGTAGGCAGCGATTGAAGCACTAGAGTGCTGGTTGTGATGATCGAGGCGCACTAGCAGTGGGCATGTGGAATGACCACTCCTCGAAGTAGGAAGGTGGCTCATGAATTTCGAGTGGATTCAACATATGCATGCAGGCCACTGTAAGAGTTCTGCGCGGAAAATGCAATATCTAAGTTGTGCCTAAGGCGTGTTCTTCTTTGCTTTCTAGAATTGAAACGTCAACGTGTGAGCTTTCTCTAATATCGGATAGAGGCTCCGCTCGGGCCCGTAATCAGAGCTGCCGATTGGTTTTCGTGTATCCTGGACCTCCATATTCGTCCCAGGGGGTACTGGGACGAATCTGGAGGTCCAGGATACGCGACCCTGAATGTAGCAGGTTTGAGGCGGAATACGAATTGGGCGCGTGCCAGTTCGCATCTTTGCCCATCCCGAACCGACCAATCTGAACATTATTTCGACTCGTTTGCAATATGAAAGAAGCTTGAGCCGCATCCAAACACACGAAAATGACCTGGTGGGTGGGTCCGATCGGGGATTGCTGAACATGCTGTACGCGTTGTGGAGCTGGACGTTCGTTACACAAGACCCTGACAATACCACTATGCTGACAATTACAATTAAATAAATATCTACCCACATTACATGGCATCAATGAGGTTCAGTATATGAGGAAAAGGACAGAGTTTGTGGTGAAAAGTTAGGTGGGAAGGACAACACAGATAAAAGCAGCGAAATTGCTGCAGATAACGGCAGTGGGAGGACTGCCCCCCCTCAATCGTTGCACACGGCAAGCACAGCACACTCTCCACCAGCATTGGCAGCAGCACTGGCTCTCAATACCCACACCAAGTTTCCTCATACTCTTGCTTCTAAGCAGCCTCACCTGGCCCTATCCCCGAACCTGATACTGCTTCTTCTGAACGAAGCCTACACTATCCCTTCTCAGGTCTACCGTATCCACCCTTCATCGCCTGCTGCCTGCGCCCAGGTTCACTACCACATGGCTGCCTGCTCGATCTCCACCCTCCCCGCGGTCGCCCCCATGCGGCGGCATCCACCCGCTGTCGTACGCGTTCCCGAACGCACCCACGGGGTAGACAAACCCACTGTCGTAGTAACTCGACCTTGAGTTCGCTGCCTCTGGAGCGCCGTACTGCCTGCTGCTGGGGTCCACACCATGCGCCCCCTCATCCTCGGTCTCAAACGTTTCCACACCCGCGCTGTACTTCACGCTGCCGGGCTCGCCCTCTGTCCTCCGCCCAGACGAACCAGCGCCAGAGGCACTCCCGAGGTTCCTTCCTGAACCTTCTGGCCCGCTTCGGCCCGAAGAAGAGCGCCGGCCAGACAGCTGCCTCGGTCCCGCGCCGATGTCACTGCCACGGTAGCTTCCCGCGACTAGCCCTTGCTCCTCGTCCGCCGCGCCAATAAGCCCCTCCCCTCCTTCTTCGTCGTCTCTCTCTTCCTCCGGCTCTTCCGGGCCCCGCGAATACTCCTGCGATGGCGCATCCGTTTCCTCCCCCACCCGCATACTTCCTTCCGCCCGCCCCTGCTCCGCCTGCGCAGCTTCCGCCTCTTCATCCGAGTCAGGGTCATCCAGCCCGCGCGCGTGCTCCTCCACGAACGTCTCCGGGGGCTCGTCGCGCGCCATGATTTGCTCGCGCAGCTCCGCCAGTCCACGCACCACCGCGCCCATGTCGGGGCGCTGCTTCGATGACGGGCGCACGCACAGCAGCGCAATCTCCAGCGCGCGCAGCAGCACCGCTGGCTCGAACTCTCCTCCCATTTTCGGGTCCGCCAGATCGTCCAGCGACTTTGCCGCCACCAGCGGCGCGGCCCACTGCGAGATGTGCACGGGGTTCGCGCCATCGCCGCCGCCGGGCTTGCGACTGTTCATCATGATCGCTCGCTGACCCGTGAACAGCTCCAGAAGCACCACGCCGAAGCTGTACACGTCGCCTTTTACAGTCACCTTGGACGTGCAGTGGTACTCGGGGTCCAGGTACCCAGGGGTTCCCGCGACGCGAGTGTACACGGACGAGACGACCTCGCCCGCGCCGCCGCCTTCCATGATGTTCTTGAGCAGCCCGAAGTCGGCAACTTTGGCGCGGAGCTGGCCATCCAGCAGGATGTTGTCAGGCTTGATGTCGCGATGGACGATGGGCGGCGACGACGCGTTGTGCAGGTAGTGAAGCCCTTCCGCCGTGCCCAGCGCGATCTCCAGCCGCTGAGCGAACGACAGGAACGGAGGCTGGGAGCGACCCAGAGCGCGCGACAGCGTCGCATTCTCCGCGAACTCGTACAGAAGGATGTGTTCGCCACCCTCGGTGCAGTAACCCAGTAGCCGTACGAGATTCTTGTGCGATAGTCGCGAAATCATCATCACCTCGTTCTCGAAATCGCTGGCGCCGGCGGAACCTTCCGTCAATCTCCGTTTCGATCGCTTCACTGCCCACGGCACGCCGGACGGACTCCGCCCCTTGTACACCGCCGCGAACGCGCCTTCTCCAAGAAACGCGCGCTTGCTGAATTTACCCGTGGCCGCTTCCACCTCCGCCAGCCCCACCTTGCGAAACATCCCCGCGCGCAGATCTTTCTCCCACTTTGCCACCACGCCCTCCTCCTGCGCGCCTGCGCTGGGCTTCCCCGCGGGGGGCGGTGCACCGAGCAGCGGTCTCATGGGACTCTGCATGAGCGCCGCGGGCGAGGGCGGAGGGATGTAGCGCGGGGGAAGCATCTCCGTGCCACCCATCATCTGTTGGTGAGACAAGCTGTGATGATACGGGCCCGGCGGTAGTGCACCGCGTGAACCCATGCCCTTAGCGTACACGCCAGGACCAGCGGCTGACATGGCCGGCGGGTACATGGGTGCTGGAGCTATCTCATCTAAACGACGCCGCTTGGGGCTGCGGCCACGGCACATGTAGCAGCAGCAGCAGGTGAGGAGGGAGAGGATGATGAGGATGACGGCGAGAATTCCCGCGCTAATACCGATTATGGCTGCGAGGGAAAAGGTGACGCCGAAGAGTGTTATGCCCGCCATGGTACCGGCAAGCACAACGGGAGACTAATTTAAGGTGTGATAAAGGCTGGAGGTCCTATCGCGCTACCTAGGTACGGGACAGATCTGCTAAAGAACAGTACTGTGAACGAGATTGGTAGTGCTGCACGGTCATAGTTGTGTTTCGAGTCATAAGGTCTCAAAAATCGAACAACAAAGAAAGAGAGCACCTCTCAATTCGAGCATCCTAGGCTGTCAGTTAGGCTGAACCCGCGAGCAGCGGGTTGCGGAGTGGAATGACGATTGGAACGGAAGCAAGCATCCGTAATCCTTAGCATGGTTTGCTGATGGAGCAGCTTACAGATCAAAGCTTGCAGCAGAGCGAACTTCACCGTGTCAGGCTGAGTGGGCCACAATTCCCACTTTCCCGCCAACTAATGTGGGTTAGCGTGTGTGTTAGTTGGGCAACGCGGGATATTTTCGTTGTACTAAAAGAACGTGTACCTTACATTTCAGGTGTGTTGTACATGGTTACGACCTTAATATAACCTTATCCTTACATTTCTGGTACCACCAGTCTGAACTGAAACTCAGATGCTCCTGCTTGCATTAAACTTAAGTGGTACTTTTAGAATAGGAGATACATTTTTCTAGTGTCTCCTTTCTGTGGCTTTATACACTTTTCTCCTCACCAAATACGGGCGGGACGTTGGGTCCTGAAAAGAGCAAGTGATTTCTGACCTGATTTCTCTGACCCGTTGTCCCCCTTCATGGTTCAGACCCGTTGGAGCCGCAGTCACGACCCGACTCAAGTGTCCAGTATCATCCCTGACCATTGCTCCCTCGCCCTTGTGGTGTGGACAACCCCGAAGGAATTCTGCCAGTGACGGCGACTCTGGGCGCTTCCCATGTCGTGCCGCAAAAATTGACCGTTGCGCAGGGCCAAAACTGTCGGCTTGGCGCCTCCCAAACGAAAATGGCAATGGCTCGCTACAAAAAGTTCCATCCACAAATCCATATTCCAAATGTAAAACAGACCCTACCATAGGAAATAAATGTCCTACGGAATACTGAGCAAGAATGAATGAACGGTAAGATCAAAGTGGGTACAAGTACCGTACTAACTCTAATTGGGTTGTACCTGTCAAACTATATATGTATTAGTTCTGTGTAGGCTATAGTGGGGTAGCTCATATGGGGTACAACCCGATGTTAGGGTTGGTACTTGTACCCACATTTCATTCAATGCAACCATTCCTGCTTGCTATCTTGACATGGTTTCAGAGCAGTAGGTCCATAGGACCGTTTTTTTTCGGGCCCACCATACTTAGCTTCCGACTGCGGTTACCGCGTTACCCCACTACCCTGCGTCGCGCTGCCCCGCGCATGCCCTGCCTTGCCCCGCGTCGCGCTGCCTAGCGCACGCCCTGCCCTGCCCTGCCTGGCGTCACCCTGCGCCAGCAACCTGCCCTGCGCTAGCGCCCTGCCCTGCGCCAGCGCCCTGCCCTGCGCTAGCGCCCTGCCCAGCGCCAGCGCCCTGCCCTGCGCCAGTGCCCTACTAAACCCGAAATAAAATTAAATAATTATTATAAAAAAAACAGGCCCCATGTGCTTCTGCCCTAGGAGCTACCTGCTACTGCCCTGCTGTGGCCGCGCGCCGCCCTGCTCTGGCTACACGCGGCCCTGCTCTGGCCGTGCGCCGCCCTGCTGCTCTTACTGCTGCTGCTGCTACTCGTGCTACTGCCTTCACTCCGTACTGCCCTAGAGGTCGCGCTCCTCCTCGCTTGCCCGCCATGACTTCCCTTTGTCGTACCGGTGGGAGTGGTGACGGCGGTGGTGGCGGCAGTGGGAGTGGTGGCGACCGTAGTAGCAGTCACTGTGGCGCTGTTTGGTGCGGAGTGTCTGGCGGTGGCCAGATGCAGCTACGGCGGCGTCCGACCCTTATGCCCCGGCAGCTTCGTGAGTGGCTTTACCAGCGTGGGCCGTCTCCGAGTCCGCGTCGCTGCCCATACGTCATTCGCTTAGGTCGTCGAGCTGGTGAGACCTGTGGGACACCTGGTCACGCACAGTCCCGCTGCTTCGCCTATTTGACTGACGCCTAGCGCACAGAGTTTGGCGACGAGGTTGAGATCCCCTTCTGGCTTGAGCTGCTTAGGTCGGGCGTTGCTGTCTTTGCTTTAGACTATGACGCCATCCTTACTGCCATGTCTGCTTTGCCTGGTGGTGCTGAGCGTGACTGTCACCTGTGCGTGCAGTACGGCCCCGTTATAGAGGTTTCTGCTCTAAGTGCTAGTGAGGCTGCTGGCTTAGGTGCTAGCGAGTCTGCTTCCTCAGGTACTGCGCCTGCTAAGGCCTTGCACACCTTCACGCTTGACTCAGGTGCTTCCCGTTGTTTCTTTCGTGACAGTACTACACTCACACCACTCACTGCACCTGTTGCAGTCTCTCTGGCTGACCCCTCAGGGGGCCCAGTTCTTGCACTGTCCACCACTGTGCTTCCGTGCCCGGCGGTTCCGTCTGGCTCACTGACAGGCTTCCACCTCCCCTCGTTCTCTACGAACTTGGTGAGCAACGCAGTTCTCCAGGACCAGTGGGTTGACACCTTTGACTAGTGGGTGGAGGACAGCGTGTGGCGATCTGTACGTGCTCCCGGACCGGCCGCCACCTGGCCACGTTTACCCGTCGGCCAGGGTCGAGTCTTTACACACTGACGACTGCGCCTCCTCAGGTAGCTGCTACTGGTTAGGTGTCTGCGTCAGGTCAGGTAGCCTCCCCTTGTGAGTGTCGCTCCCAGTCGCACCAGACTCTTCTCTGGCACCACCGTCTGGGTCACCCCTCCTTGCCACGTCTACGTGGCATGCACCGTCGCCTCCTTGTGTCTGGTCTTCGCAGGTCTCTCCCTCCCCTCCCTGCCTCACCTGCGCCGCCCTGCCTTCCTTGCATCGAGGGGCAGCAGCGCGCCGCTCCTCACTCCTCCTCGTTTCCCCCGACAGAGGCTCCTCTGCAGACCCTCCACATGGACGTGTGGGGCCCAGCCCGCGTTCGTGGACAGGGCGGTGAGCGGTACTTTCTGCTGGTGGTCGACGACTATTCGCGGTACACCACGGTCTTCCCCTTGCGCACCAAGGGTGAGGTCCCTGCTGTCCTGATCCCTTGGATCCGAGCAGTTCGTCTCCGGCTCCGCCGCAGGTTCCGCCAGGACCTTCCTGTCCTACGTCTGCACTCTGACAGAGGTGGTGAGTTCACCTCCGACCTCTTGCGGGCCTTCTGTCAGGGGGAGGGCATCGAGTAGTCGTTCACGCTTCCGGGTTCACCACAGCAAAATGGGGTTCTTGAGTGCCTCATTGGCTTAGTCATGGAGGTCGCTCGTACCTCCTTGATTTATGCGGCGGCTCCCCGTTTTCTTTGGCCGTTTGCGGTCCGGTACGCCGCGCAGCAGCTCAACCTCTGGCCCCGTGTCTCCTTGTCGGAGACTTCGCCCACACTGCGTTGGACGGGGGAGGTTGGCGATGCGTCGCGTTTCCGGGTCTGGGGTGCTCGTGCCCTTGTCCGCAATACGTCAGCGGACAAGCTCTCCTCCCGCAACATTCCCTGTGTCTTCCTCGGCTTTGTCCCTCACGCGCCTGGCTGGCAGTTTCACCACCCCACCTCGCGCCGTGTCTTCCCCTCTCAGGACGTCACCTTTGACGAGTCGGTTTCTTTCTACAAACTCTTCCCTTACCGCACTGCCCCTCTCCCTCCCCCGCTACTTTTCCTCGCTCCAGGTCCCCCTCCGGTAGACCCCCTCCCCCCTCAGGGTCCTGCTCCTTCAGGTGTGTCTCAGGTAGACCCGACCCCCTTGGCTGAGCCTGTAGAGGTCACTAGCGACTCAGGTGCTGCTGCGGGTGCTGCTTCTGAGGGTGCTGAGCCTGCGCATTAGGTGCTGGGGAGTGCGGAGCCTGGGGGTGCTGAGCCTGCGGCTGTGGAGTCTGGGGGTGCTGAGCCCGTCTGTGAGGTGCCGGGGGGTGCGGAGCCTGGGGGTGCTGAGTCTGCTGGCGTTCCTCTGGGACTCGTTTCACGACGCGGGCCTGTCTCACCACAGTAGGCACGAGAGTTGCTTGCGTCGCGTACCCGCCTGAGGAGTCGTGCTGCTGGAGCTGCTTGTCGTGGAGGCGCTGGGAGTGCTGGTGTCTCTGGTCCTGGAGGTGCTCGTACTGGAGGTACTAGAGCTGCCGGGACTAGTGCTGCTCCTAGAGCTAGAGGTGTCGGTTCCGGGGGTGCTGCTGCTGGAGGTACTGAGGCTGGAGGCCCTGGAGCTGGTACTGTTGACCCTGGAGCTGGGGGTGCTGAGTCTGCTGGCGTTCCTCTGGGTCTTGTTTCACGACGCGGGCCTGTCTCACCACAGCAGGCACGAGAGTGCCTTGCGTCGCGTACCCGCCTGAGGAGTCGTGCTGCTGGAGCTGCTTGTCGTGGAGGCGCTGGGAGTGCTGGTGTCTTTGGTCCTGGAGGTGCTCGTACTGGAGGTACTGGAGCTGCCGGGACTGGTACTGCTCCTGGAGATGGAGGTGTCGGCTCTAGGGGTGCTGCTGCTGGAGGTACTGGGGCTGGAGGCCCTGGAGCTGGTGCTGTAGACCCTGGCGTTGGAGACCCTGGAGCTGGAGGTGCCGGTTCTGGGGGTGCTGCTGCTGGAGGCCATGGCGCTGGTCCTGTCGGCCCTGGAGTTGGGGACCGTGAGGCTAGAGGTGCCGGTTCTGGGGGTGCTGCTGCTGGTGGCGCTGGAGCTGGAGGTTCTGGAGCTGCTGGAGGCGCTGGAGCTGGAGGTACTGCTGCTGGAGTCCATGGAGCTGGAGGTGCTGCTGCTGGAGGCGTTGGAGTTGGAGGTGCTGCTGCTGGAGTCGCTGGAGCTTGAGGTTCTGGAGCTGCTGGAGGCGCTGGAGCTGGAGGTGCTGTTGCTGGATTCACTGGAGCTGGAGGTGCTGCTGCTAAAGGCGCTAGAGCTGGAGGTTCTGGAGCTGCTGGAGGCGCTAGAGCTATTGGTACTGGTGGCCCTGCGCCGTCGCGAC